ACCAAAACAACTAAAATGCTGTAGCTTTCTTTTAAATTGAGTATATTCCCTAGTAAATCTACTGGGCCTGCATTCTCATATTTGATGAATTCATCTTGCTTATCAGTAACAGCCTTGCCAGTGTCTGATATATTGGGGAAAAAATTCCTCACCAATTAAACCACCAACTTATGGACTGTGCAAACGAAAATTAATGACTAGAACTGAAATTTGGGCTTAAGGGTGCCGGTTTCGACTCCCAGCTAATAATTCACTGCTGTTGAGCAACTATATATCCCGATTAGCTTTAAATAGTTGATGCCAGTTGTACAAATTCGTCTGCCATAACTACATCTGAATGTTATGATAAGGACAGTAACCTTGCCTATAAAAATAGCTTGTTACAGAAACCAAAGCAACACAGTTGCTGAGACCCTATGGTTGGTTAGCAGCTAAACTTGGAACAATACTGCCAAGAATAGTATATATATCTGAGCACAGTGAGCAGTGTGATTTTTTTTTTTCTGTCCAAATCCTGTACACTGAAAAACATTAATGCACCTTTGTGGTCTGAGGAGTGTGGGATACCATCAGTAGTAAAATGTTCAAAAATATGGATCTTCAGGATTTATTCCTTTGATTGAGATAAAATGGATTCGGTAATTGCTACAGTTAAATTGTTAATTTATATTCACACACATCTGTATGTGTGTGCATGCGTGCGTGCTTGCGTGCGCGCACGTGCCTGCGTGTGTGTGTATATGTATGTATTCATATCAGGAGTGGATAAAAACAAAGGAGTGCGCAAGGCTAAATTATTGAAATTCCAAAGTTTACTAGCCCCTAATTTACCTGTAATTTATTATAATTAATTCATAACCTCACCCAGGCGCGCAAATCCATTTTGAAATGTGGGGGGACACCAGTAGCGAGCACGCGAAGGGGGAGGTCTGGAAAATTTTGAAATTAGACCCCCTCAGATGCGTTTTCTGCGCGAGTAGGGGGGTCCGAACCCCCTGGACCCCCCCCCCCCTGTACACGCCCCTGCACACACACACACACACACACACACACACACACACACACACATGCATTTGGTTTGTGATATGATTACGAAAAGGGTGTCCACATGCAGTCATAAAATCAAGAAAACAAAAAGCAGAAAACCCAATCATTTGGTGTTGAGGCTGATCACAAAATATATTGGTCCGTTATTATTGTTGGTCCAGTCATACATTATTAAAACCGATGCTCAGTTACTCAGTGTCCTCTTTGCGTGAATATAGCTCGTATTCCCAGCTTAATCCTTGAATCAGTGTCTAATGTGAGTGATATCTCCTAAACTTTCATAAACATACTTTCTCTTGATGATTTCTGCATAAGAATTATTTAATATAAGAAAAAAAACGTCTTAAAAAAGAAACGGTACTAAATTTATCAAGACACATTTTTCTTAAGTTGTGCATGATCATTATTATGCTCTCAAATGCACTTGAATAAAATGAAAGCTGGCAAAAAAGGGGAAAGAAGCCAATCGTTGACGCACTATCACATAATAACTAGACAGAGGGCACTCAAAGAGAGTGCATACCTCCGCGAGCGTGTAACATGTATACATGTGTATAACAGCTGGCTCGCTGCTGGCTGCTGCTGCTGACTGGACGCCCTAAGGCGAGCTGCTGCTGACTGGATGCCCTAAGGCGAGCTGGTGCTGAATCAATCGATCGGTTGAGCGTGTGTATAACAGCTGGCTCGCTGCTGGCTACACACACACACGAACACACACACGCGAGCGATTGCATGACCTCAGTTTGCGCGGAGGTAAAAAGGTTCTCACTTTACAAACACACACACACACACACACACACGCACACGCACACTTACACACAAAATCATGGTGATCCAAAATCGTGGGGGGGGACATTTGATATGATGTCCCCCCTCTGAAAATTCGTGGGGGGGACATGTCCCCCTGTCCCCCCCGCTGGATTTGCGCCCCTGACCTCACCTCAGAATCTACTAAAAGCATCCCCCTAGCATGTGTACGTATCGGTTTTCCCATACACATTCACAGTGTGCAGATAAAATGCATGACACGATTGTTGAAAAATTATCACCATAAAATCAGAGCCACGCACAATCATTTTCAAACAAAACACTGCACGTGCAAGTGCCGTCCATAGATGACATTAGAAACTGGGTTTGTTGGGGCAATCGAGCAACTCAACTACGACTGGACATCTCCGTGTAGAAACGGTTGTTTACGGTCGATGCCCCACCACCACCAGCAAAAGCGTGGCTAGCTAGGACTAGGAGTGTGTAGCTAGAGAGTGTAGGAGTGTGTAGGAGAGTGTGTCACAGCGCATAAATTAAATTACGAAAAAGATTTTTTTTTTCCAATTATTTTGATTGTTGCTATGCAACGTTTTGGTTGTTGGTGCACCTATGTAACCGTTCTTCTGAGACAGAAATCCCCTTACCTAACGAACCACTTCACAGTTTCCGATGTCACTGGTAGATGCTAGCTACTACGTGCACAAACAGTCTTGTTTGAAATGGATCGCAGGAGGCTCTGATTTTATAGTTAAAACTTTCGAAAACCAGCTCGTGCATTTTTATCTATATATAGATCTGCAGGTGGCGAATGTATATATGGGCAAAACGATTACAGGGCACGAAATTCAGATTTTTTTGCAGCGGCCCAGAGGGCTGGCAACAGCAGTTTTTTAGCAGCCCTCACCATAATTTACCAGCCCTCACAAATTATTTTTTTATTTTTTTAAATAACGATAAGACTTTCGAAACAGTGATCACTGACTCTTGCTTGTCCGAAAAATGTTATAGTAGTGTGCGGCATTGCATACCATAGTAGCTGTTGAACAGTCAGACTATAAAATGCAGATCGTGAATCGTTTCACGGCTGGCATGCATTTTCGATTTCAAATTTGTAAAATTTTGATAAATTATGGTGTGATATCTTTCAGGTAAAACAGTATGTAGGCTATTTGCTCATTAATGCTATAAATAAAATTGTCGGTACTCGCTAACACGGCTGAAACCACCAGCTCGGAGGGTGCCAATCTTACTGGCCCTCTAAATAATTTGCCGGCATATATGCCAGTGGGCCGGTGCTAATTTCGCATCCTGGATTATGTACAATGCTAGGGGAATGTTTGAAGTAGATTCTGAGCCCATGGTTGTTGAATTTGACATAATAAATTCGAGGTAGATTAGGGCTAAGGAATGTTGTCGATTTTCCATTATTTTAGCATTGCTCACTCCTATGTTTAGCTCATCTGACATAGTCAGATGCAGCTTGTAGAATCGCTTGATCGTCCGTCCGTCCGTCCGTGCGTCCGTGCGTCCGTGCGTCCGTGCGTCCGTCAACAGTTGGGCACAAATCTTAACCGCTCGACGTACGGTCACGATATTCGCGCCACATTGGCGGGGGATCGTCAAAACGAGTTGGGATGTCGAGCTGGGGTCAAAGGTCAAAGTCAGAGGTGTAAAAGAAGGGGAACATTCACTCCTTAACTTAAGGTATAGGGAGGAAATGCAGAATTGCGGCACAAATCTAAACGGCTCGACCTAGGCTCGTGATAGTTGGTGTATACGCATCATGGTAGGAAAAGCCATCACTGGGCCGAATTGGAGTCACAGGTCAAAGGTCAATGGGCACAGGGCAGATTTTAGACATTTTCTGAGGACATGGTCTGACGGAGCGATTGAAAAACTTTTTTGTTTCAGCGGTGACCTAGCATTTTTATGGCATTATTGAAAGGACCATGAAATCTACTTTCTGCTGACATGCGAAGAGTAAGTGTCAGATAACCTTTTGACCCTCAAGAGGAGGGTTAAACATGGATTTGTTGACTGTTAACAAAGGAGTGAACTGCTTTTGCTATTAGAGCCCCCTCCCCCCACCCTCCCCTTTCCCCCTTCCCCACCCTCCCCCCACCCTCCATCTGCGATAGTGGGCGTGTCCTAACAATGATGTGTACGCAACTGCGTGTCTGCATATCTGCGCCTAACAAATGTGGTACTACGCACGACTGAAATTTTACGTTTATCATCGTAGCAACAGACCTCAGATGAGCCCAGACGCTCTGCGGCTCTTGTTTTATTCCCTTATGGTTCACGCACGTACGCACGCACACGCACGCACGCACACACACACGCCACACTTTTACCACATGGTCTGGAGTCTGAGTAGTAATCCTATGAGCAAAATGTCCAGTGTTATCAGGAAATACAATCCGGGTGTTGGAAATGTAGAGGAGTCATCTCGGGTGTGCACATGTATTAATCCGCGAATGAAGCTACTATGCGTCTGGTATGCATTCCTATCGAATCCACTGCCATTGCCTTTCCACTGTGCTGGATTCGGTTGCTGTGGAGCGTGTGTTGGATGCGCGTGTAGCCTTGTGTATCATCACCGCTTCGATTATGATACCTGTCTGTTCACCCAGGGGATGTCCATGTTCACAAGCATGCCCATGTAACCGACTCTGTTCGGCTACAGCACGGGCATACGAATGCCACAACGTGTGCGCGTGCACTTCCACTGCAGTCTTGTCCTTTAATGATAACATCGTACTTGCATTTACATAATTTATTCGTCAGACAGACTGCCGGCGTTGCGAAAGGCTTCATACACGAAGGGATTTTGCATGAATTTATTGAGCTGACCTCGCTGCTTTGCATTCGCAGGTGCTATCTCCTGGTTTGCATATTACATGAGATTGTCATTTGCCACATTTAAAGCTAGTCCTCCTAACCACACGCAATGTTGTCGATATTGTCACTGAGCTCTTCGTACGTGGGGCTCGAGCCTTGGGGAAATTTCACACTGATTTCCCCGATGTCGTTCCTGTGAAATAAAAGAGTAACTAATACCCAGTCGTTATCCCAAACCTACTTTGGCTGCACACATGTATACGGATTGCGTCTATGAATAAACGGCGAGACATTTTATATGCGAGATATTTTCGTGAAGCTTTTTTCTTAATGCTTCGTTCCAGTTTTTGTGTCTGAAGAACATTCGAACATTCCTGACGGCATGCCAGCACACATTCGGGATGCGATCGCACGAACTCTTCGACTCTTTCATGTTGTTCGACATGACAGACTTCGGCAAGGTGAATCTTAGATTTTAATGCTGTGTGAGAATATTTAATCGTGTTTATAAAAAATTGCCACCACTTTACTGTGAAGAAATATTTAATGTGGTTCTATCATGAATTGCTAGTCTTAGTTTAAATAGTAGGTTATTCACTTGTAGTGAAATGTTTGATTTCTTTAACAGTAAATTTATATTAAAAAATGCAAATAATTATAGAAATTCTATTAAGAACTAGAGCACTCGGAGAGCGCAGACCTCCGCCAAGGCAGCTCAATTCTCTCACTGTGAAAATTTTTATTAATTAATTGGATCCGGATAACCACCAAAATGTAATCAATTGTAAGTTACCCCATTTCTGACCTATCCTGAAAATTTAATTAATTAATTAATTGGATCCGGATGACCACCAAAATGTAATCAATTGTAAGTTACCCCATTTCTGACCTATCCTGAAAATTTAATTAATTAATTAATTGGATCCGAATCACCACCAAAATCTAATCAATTCTAAGTTAAATCCTGAAAATTTTATGACAATGCGTCCATAACTTTTTCAGTTAGGCTGTACACAAACAAACAAACGCACAAACCCACAAACAAACAAACACACGCCGGTGAAGACATAACCTCCTGCCAACCCCTTGGCGGAGGTAATAATATTACATGCTATAAAGTTGCTGATATTATTATACTGAAGTCGGTTTCTGTACGTGTTAAAATAAGTTCTTAAATCAATAGTTGTGCGAGATAGTAATCGTATGTGGTTACATGGTTCGCACAGTCCTTGAAAAGTCCTTGAATTTGAGGGGAGTCCTTGAAAAGTCCTTGAATTTGAGGGGAGTCCTTGAAAAGTATTTGAATTTAGTAAATGTTAATTTTGTGCTTGAAAAGTCCTTGAATTTCATGAAATGTCCTTGAATTTCATGAAAATGTCCTTGAATTTCATGAAAATGTCCTTGAATTTTTAGAAATAATCCTTGCCTGTAATAAAAAGAAATTTTGTACCATCAATAATGTGCAAACCTCAATAAAAATTGCGTTAAATGAGCTTAAAAAGCTATAGACATATAGACAGTTAAATGATGATCACAAATTACAGTAAGTCACTAAAATCAGTCAGTAAATCAAGGTATGTTGTAGAAGTGACAGTGTTTAGAAGGGTTTATTAATGTGATCTAGATAAGTTTTAGAGGTGACATGCAGTGATTAAGAATGGGGTTATTAAATTAATCCAGGTATGTTTTGTTCTGTGTATGAATTCCGATAAAATGTCTGATAAAATATCCTTGAATTTCCGATAAAATTTCCTTGAAAAGTCCTTGAAAAGTTCTTGAAAAAAATTTCAGTCCTGTATGAACCATGGGTTAGAGATCATGCACGCTGAAAATATTGTATATATATGTAAAGGTTTAACATTAAAGCCGTTGGCTGTTTAGTGCTGTTCTAGTATAGTAAAATCAGGAGAGAATAAAAACCAATGTACCTTCTACTTCTAGGTACCATGAATAACCACAGCATGTAGTGTCTTAATGAGCTCAAACTGTTTCATGCATAGTGTTCATTAATAGAGATGAAGGGCACTGGAATGTGCACTTAACCAGCTGGTGTGCTAATGAACACACTGTGTAGTGGCGTAACCGCGTTACATATTATTATATGTTTGTGATTAATTTTTTTCTCCAAAGGTTTGGTTAAAATGAGGATTAGAAGTTTAATCAGTGCAAGCATATTGCCAGTATCCCTAAGGAAAGTGTTTGCTCTTTCTGCCCCGAGGCCTACACAAATGGTTTGCATAGTACTCTTGAATTTATTGTTCAAAGGCCCAAATACTGTGTAGTTATCGTCAGGCGTACGGATGTGGGAATGTGGTCTAATGCTGGGAGCTTCAGCTTTCCTGCATTCAAGAGTGCTATGTTATTGTAGGAAGCTCTGCACAAATTGTTTATCAGATGTGGCAATTGTTTACTCTCATCTATGCAGCACTGCACATTTGCTCTGCTAATGGCAGTGGTATCGTAGCCATGACGATGTGCTGTTATCTTTTATGCGTGCATTGGGATTGCACCATTTTCGATCCGGCCTCTTTTTCTCGTGGGAGGAAGGCATTAGCAACTGGGTAGAATTTGTTTCGTAAAAGTCCAAAGTATGAAACGTGTCCTCGAGGAACACACTATTTATTAATATTATCTCTGACACTAGCCAAAATATGAATGTAGCTGAGAATATGGCCACACATCTTAATTGTTTTTACAGTGCATGATTGCATATAAGTAGACGTGTAGTATAGTGTTGCCGTGCATTTAGTACTGCAGTATATGTCAAGTGGCACCCTGCCCCATATCCCCGGTAGCCGAGTGTGCTGCGAGGTGTCAGAAGCCTAGAGCATTACGAGAAGTATATATATACGATTACAGTCGCGCCAAGCTGAGACCGGATTATCGGGGCAGGGTAATCGAATAGATGCGCTCGAATCCGGTTCACTCGGCAATGTTTCTGACTTATCGGGGGCATGCAGTACATTCCTGAGAAAATGTAGGCATCTGAAATAAAGCGCCTGAAGAAAGGTGGCTGTGAGATTGCCAGGAGAAGCTTGCAGAATAGAGGGAGAAGCTTGTAGAATGTAGGGAGAAGCTAGGTTAGCTCCAGAAATAATTTCAAGGTAGCAAGCGCTAATTTAAGTAGAATGCTGGGAGAACCTAGGAGTAGGAGAATGCTAAAAGAAGCTTGGGTGATGCAAAACAAGATATGAGAATGCCGTAGAATTTTGAAATATCCTGCAATTTGCGGGACACGTAATGTTGACATGAGAGGCAGAAACTTGAGTGAGCGGGATGTCGAAAGCTCCTCAGCGATAGCGGAGAAGTAGAGAGATGAAGAGTAGAGACAGGCATACATTTACATGAGAATATGGAGAGATGCGTGATGATCGATACCGAGCACAATTAGCGCACGCATTCCCGTCTGGCAACAGCGGAGTGTTATTGAAGCCACGTGCCTTTGTAGAGTGAATGACCAGTTTAGTGGGTGTGCTAGGCTTCGCCACTGAGTAAACCAGGTCACGAACTTGACGGCAGAATGATAGAATTTAGACTCTGCATAAGATAATGCTGGCCGTTGGTTTGAAAAGAGACTACAGTTCTTCTCGGTCTGGATGTGTTGATATGTGCCTGCCTGTGCATGCATGCATGCAGTGGTCCTTGTGGCGAGTTGTTGTCGAGAAACCACTAGTGATTGAAATTTGTGTGCGTTGCGTCACGGAGAAAAGTTTTGGCAATCATGTACGCTGACAGCAACCATCGTCACATGTTAGCAGCAGCTGTGTGTTCTGCTCAGAGACTCCTGCTGAAGCTCTGGCATGTAGGTGAAATCGGTCATATCATGACTTCATGAAGATGTAATGGTAGAAATTGCATGGATGATAAAGTAAAGAAGCTTCTGTTATGTTAGCATTGGTGTTTGTACACAGCTTTGGCACAGTTTGTGCACAGTTTTAGCATTGCTAAATCTGTGAACTTTGCAGGTGTTGCAGGCTCTGTCCAAGTTATCTCGATCACATAAGGCTTTAGCAACAGGAATACCGTGAGTGTATATTATTAATCTTAACCTAATTACTCTTATTGAGCTTCTTATACAAACTCTTTATCACATATAAATATTTTGATGATGGAAGGTGTACCAGGCTCATAGGTAGGTCATATTGTGGATTTCAAACCACTTTTAAATTGCCAAATAATTTAGAAATCCCCTGTAATTTGACGATAATACTGTTGCTATATTTTGATGGTTGTTTTTGCACAAAAAAGCATTTTAAGCAATATTTCTCATGGGAGTATGACAGCAGTGTGTTAGGATACATTTTGCGAGATGTGGGAGTATTTCCCTATCTAAGTGTTGTGTTAAATGTGCCAATGTTGAGTGTGTGGGCGGTTTAAATCCTGCCATGTGCTGTTGGCTTCAGGGGTTTTCCACAGGACCATCCTGATGAGAGACACTACTACAATGAGGAGATCTACAGTCACCTGGAGGAGCTTGCTACCTCCAAGTATGTATCTATCTAATCTTCTAGCACCCACCTTCATTAAAATTGGCTCGACTTATTTACCTGTTTCAATAATTTAATGTTAATTTTTCTGTTCTGATAACTTAATGTTAAGATTAATGCTCTTCCGAGATACCAAGTTAATTTTTAGCTCATCTGACATAGTCAGATGCAGCTTGTAGAATCGCATGAGCGTGCGTGCGTCCGTCCGTTTGTTCATGCGTCAACAGTTGAGCTCAAATCTTAACCGCTTGACGTACGGTCACGATATTCGGGACGTTGGGGGGGATCGTCAAAACGAGTTGGGATGTCGAAGCTGGGGGTCAAAGGTCAAAGGTCAAGAGGTGTAAAAGAAGGGGGAACATTCCCTCCTTAACTTAAGGTATAAGCACAAATCTAAATGGCTCGACCTAGGCTCGTGATAGTCGGTGTATAGCATTATGGTAGAAAAAGCCATCACTGTGCCTAAATTGGAGGTCAAATGTCAATGGGGAACAGGGCAGATTTTAGACATTTTCTGAGGACATGGCCTGACGGAGCGATTGGAAAACTTTTTTGTTTCAGCGGTGACCTAGCATTTTTATGGCTTTATTGAAAGGACCATGAAATGTACTTTTTGCTGACATGCGAAGAGTAAGTGTCGGATAACCTTTTGACCCTCAAGAGGAGGGTTAAACATTGATTTGTTTCTCAACTGCGTTGGCGAGTACATGTGGTTATGGAGAGCTCCCATTTTACAGTGAAATTCCACACATAACTCTTACTTGAACAACGCTTACTTAGGAGATAATGAGACGAAATATATATGAGATTCTGTAGTGTACATTATGAATAGTTGGAATACAGTCACTAGCACTCAAATAATTACCCAGGAGTGAGGCTGCGGATTTCCCAGACTTCATTTTCTCAAATTTTGGCACCAATATAGACGCAAGTGTGTACGTTCTTGAGCTTATTCGGTCCTCTAATCACTGGCCTACCTTGTAGTGAAATTAGTTTACAGATATTTGCAATCGTATTGCTGTAAATTGTAATCTTGCACGAGCTGCTCTGGTTGTATCAACCATTGAGCTATTTTTTAACGAGCCAGATGTGCCTCGCAAGGGGTTTAATGTACCTTATTACCTGACACCATAGAATGCACGTTATGTATAGTAATAATATGGTAATTATTCGCTTCTGCTTTTTGTAATCCGTCGTCACACTGACAGCTGCCATTGCGCTGCAATGCTTTGGCTGACCGATGCAACGATGCCTTTGATAGCGGCCCGCCATCTATCGGAATTTTATTACACTAGTTGAAGTGTTGTTTTTTTGGGTTAGAAATGAACGTATGTATAGGACGTCTTGCTATGCACAAATGAATTTATCAGCAGAACACCAGACACCAGATGAGCCCTGTCGCTCTGCGGCACTTGTTATTCCTCGTTTTTAGCTCGCCTTGACATCGTCAAGATGAGCTATTGTCATGGGGTGTCGTCCGTCGTACGTCCGTCAACATTTGGCTACAGTCAACGATAACTCAAGAACCGTTTGACCCACATGTTTCAAATTGCATATAGTTGTTACTCCTATGGGAGAGGTTTGAACGTCCTATTTTGGAGCACGCCAGTTAACCTACAATCTAGCCACGTCCACTTTTTGGCAAAAATGTAAATGGCCACAAGTCAGTTTAGGTTCAATGGGTTTTGCTCATTTCTGGTATGTGAATGAATGAGGACTGCCCCCAAAACATATCACACAACGGGTTTTGATATTTTTTTTTATTATGCAAATTAGGTAGATTTTGGCAATTTTACTATGCATTTCAATGTCTGCCTACGGTCAAAGATAACTCAAGAACCGTTTGACCCACATGTTTCAAATTGAATACAGTTGTTACTCTTATGGGAGAGATTTGAACTTCCTATTTTGGAGCACGCTAGTCGACCTACTTTCGAGCCACGCCCACTTTTTGGCAAAAATGAAAATGACCATCTATATTTATTCGATTTTGTTAAATCTTGGTATGTAAATGTGTAAGGCTAGCCCCAAAACAGTTGTTACTCTTATGGGAGAGATGACAACGTCCTATTACGTTTATTTTGTCTAACTGGTCAACAGCTCTACAATCATACCTATATACGTGTAATATTGTGTTTTAGATTCCTCGTTACAGTAATTTGACTGGAATATTTTATTGTTTTTATTTGCGCGATATTCGAAAACTAAAATGGCGATCATTTAGGCGTAGCGCCATCTCTCGTCAAGATTTCAGACTTACAGATCTGAAACATTTATTTTCGCATCAAAACTTATGCATATATCATTATCAAGAGTATATAATGGGAGATATGCTATATAATGGGAGTTCTCCCATATATACTCTTGCTTTTATATCCCCCCTCTCTCTTCTATCACACCCAAGGTGAGCTACAGTGTCATTGAATTCAAAATAACCACATGCATACCAATTCTTTGAACAGGAAATGATTAGATTGTAAAAGTCAATACTTCAGTGTGGTTTTATGAGTATCGACAGTTCAGCTGCCTGAGCAGAACTGTACACAGTCAATATGAAGCAATTTATATTCAATTGGTGAAGAAAATTTCTAACTGGTATTCGATGCTACTATCTTTCAGTTTTCTATCGATGATTGATGCACAATTATTGAAATCAATGTTCAAACATTGTCCATTATAGTGACCTGATGGATGAGGACCCGTACAGGGAAGTGAGGGAGGATGAGCTGGGAAGGGAAGATATATATGAAGACCTGTGTGCGTACAGGAGTCGCAAAGAACTCGAGCAGGTGAGGGAGATTTCTGCTGGAGGGTTGGTGAGGCGCTAGAGGCCCTGCATAGTCCGTGTGAAATCTTATCCTTCATTAGGAGAGTTGGCTTGAGAAAACCCTAATGATGTACGTGCTATGTATGATCATGTAAACTAAATGATGGCAGCATTCCTAATCGTGTTTCTCTGTGTCTCTACGGTGGCATTGGGGGTGACTAACGGTTATCGGTATCACTAAAAAGTCAAGGTTGGCTGTTATTGTTGTTATTGTTGTTGTTGCTGCTGTGACTGCTGCTGCTGCTCTTCATATGTGTTTTTGGTGGGTCCTTTGCAGCCTCTTTTAGAAAAGAAACCGGCTGACAAGCGGGAATATTGCATCCGAGAACTCGTGGAGACTGAAAAGAATTACGTCGATGCTCTCAACATGATCGTTTCAGTATGTGCTCAGTATCTGCTATTTCTCAGTGAGCTTAGCTTTGTCCGGGATATTTACATGGAAGCGGCTTCGACTGCCTTCTTTCGAAATTAGTGTTTTTGTTGTGGCCAAACGACAATGCAAATTTGGCCGGCCAGAAAAACATCTGCCGGGGTAAGGTTTGCTCGCTCCGCTTGAGTTGACGGCGATTTTTCTCATGGGCATGTTTCTCCGATGCGAAATAAATGCTGAGTCGCGGTGACTCGTTACGAATCGCTGTGATTTTCGTAGCTGGCCATGCGTGATGAACTTGTTATGTGAGCATCAAATAGGAACCACTGGAAAAGGATGCTTGGGTTGGTGGTTTGGTACTACCGTAGCATTGGATCGAATTGACTATCATTTCGACTACGAAAAAAGTGATTATAGCAATAAATTTGATGTGATTATAGCAATCAATCTGAGGTAGAGTGCCTGCTTTGAGGTAGGTACGGGAAAAAAGACCTAAATCATTGCTGTTAACTGTTTCAGCATTTTGCGCGCCCTCTTAAGCCGATCATACCTGAGGAAGACTTCAGACTTGTCTTTAAACACATGGAAGATCTGTGCATGATACACACAGGATTCCATAGTGAGCTCCACAGGTATTCTGTTCTTTGTTTGAATATTTGAAATTTGCATTCTTTGCTCAAGCAGATCCTATTGTAGTTGTGAAGGAGATGTCTTAATCAACTGTAAGATACCTATGTTTAGTAAATGGGCTTGCGATATAAGTATCCATATGACACGATTCTCACTAATTTGACAAACCAATGTAATACCAAGTGTGTGTGTGTGTGCGTGCGTGCGTGCGTGCGTGCGTGCGTGCGTGCGTGCGTGCGTGCGTGCGTGCGTGTGTGTATGGTTGTGTGCATGCGTGCGCGCGCAAAGCCATTATGATCGTTTATATCCTGCGCAGCAATAGATAATGCTGAGAACCAGCAATTCTGGTAAAGCCTGCATCTTTGATAAGCTTCTAGCATACCGGTCCATTACTTCTAGTGTAGCCCAGCTACTCTGTCTGAACACTGGATCCCAGTGGCGGCAAACAATGTGTAGGTGGCCTGTCTCACTGCGGTAGTCAGAATCCCTGAGCGAACATGTATATCTGACGCAGCCACGCACCTATTTTTAGGGCGTACGTAACCGGCGTGCCGACGTTCGCGGAGTGCTTTTTGAAGTGGCGAGACAAGTTTCTTCTGTACGGAGACTTCTGCTCCAACCTTCCACACGCACAGGACCTCATCGATGAGCTGTGCAACAGTCGTGAGCTCGTCAAGCAGACCGTCATCGTAAGTCGCCGCACGCTCGCAAAGTGCTACACGGGCACATTAAGCTAGAGAGCTCTCAAATTGACCTGTGGTAGGGTGGGCTACAGGGCTTGTTAGGTTTTACGCAGGTAGTGTAGGTGAAGGCTGTTGTTAAGTGCAGTCCATTTATTGTACGATGCTTGGCTCATTAACTTTAGTGTAGGTGGAGCAGGCTGGACTGCTCATTAAGTGCGACGCAGGTAGAGTAGGGTAGGGCCTACTAGGCTTCATAATTTCAGGGAAATTAAATTGGACTGCTATGCTCCTCACTACGAGGGATGAACTTAGAGAATACCGTGTTTGTAGATCGACAGACAAGATGATCTTAAGTTCGCTGATCTAGTTCCTGTAAAATAAATATTATTGCTGCATCTATCTTCTAACATAACTGTGACCTGTGTAGAAATCACATCGCTAACCTTCTACTCTCCTGTACAGCTGTGTTTACCAGCTTATTTCATTTTCCAAATGTCTGTTGGGCCTTGATAAATGTTTTATATGTAAAACATTCTGTGTACTGTTTGCACTTAATATTTAATGTTTATACATGCATTAATAATCACCGGCACCTACTTGTTTTAGTGTGTCTAGATTTACCTAATGTATACCTTGTGTCGTGTCTTACAGAACTGTTATGCATCTTTGGACGTGGTGAGTGTATGTTAGTTATAGTAGTGAAAGTGGCAGCATAGTCGTGCAAAGCTGCATGAGCTTTATGTTGTTTGTGCACATTTGCTTTGGTGAATGCCCACTGAAAAAATTGCAGAAGAAATTATGTTGGTAATATTTCGTTGATGTTTTTTAACAAATGTTCTGTGGGCCAAGCTTCGCTGTTGGTATGCTTATTGCTGCACTGGCTGCTCCAAAGTCATGCACAGACGTGCTCTTGTTTACTCGACACAATCTGGCATTACATTGCGTGTGAGATACGAATACTTGGGAAACATGTCTGTCATGTCTGTGTATGTGTTATTGATGGCTTCTCGCTTAAATAGTAGGAATGTTGCAATATCCAAAATATTCATCATAGCTAGTGCATGTTGGATGGTTGTCGAAAATGGTATTTTACGTTTCATAGTAGTTTATATAATAATAAGTAGCAAATTAATAAGTAGTGGTTTTATTCAGCACACGTCAAATGAGGGCTATCGTATGACAAAGGTTTGCTACAGCTACCTAATCTTATTGTAAATGTTTCACTAATATTAAAATTACTACAGATGTAGACCACACTTTCACTGTGCTGCATTTTTGCATGAGTCACTATTTTGATTTGTGATAAATGCTCGTGGTTAATTGTGTATATGTGCACTATATCAGGCGAACATAGTTGAACTGTATGACCAGCTGTTGTTGGTCATCAAGGCCAAGGCGTGAGTGGATTTGCTGTTTGTATCACAGGTGCTAGCACACGATAAAAGCCGGGCAGTAGGTGTTTATTTTTCTGCGATTAAATAAGGAGGTTTGTGTTTATTTTCTTGTGTCCAAATGCTTGCAAAAGAAGCAATGTGATATCACTGGAAATTTGCGAGTGAAGCCGTGGGTATTACGCTGTTTGTTTCACCAGTAATCGTGATAGGCATATTGCAATGACTTTTGGAGGGCGAGGAGTGTGGGGAGCATAACTGTGCTGTCGTAGGATAACACAAGTGTTGAGTGGCATGGGGTGGAGAGGGGGCGAGTAACGAAGTCTAAATAACCATGTAGAAGCACGTCATAATCAAAGAGGAAAAGCCATTTGAATTTTAACGGAAGTTGCTTGTGTGCCTGCCTATTTAAGTCATTGTCATAACTAGATACGTACGTATAAATACGTCAACACTCTCACTCTATATATATCAACGGACTTTCCAACAGGATGTAACTAAGGATGCACTGCGTAGGAAGTTGTGTGGCATGCTGCGCGTCACAGTGAGAGATCGAGGGAGGAATGCTGCCATCACTCGTGCCGATTACTGTCATGTACCCGGAACACAGGCTCTATAACCGGACGACTGTCTCCCATTATTCACAGAACTGTCAAGAGAAGGCCAACGAAGGGAAGTTTCGGCTGCGCGACCTACTGTCTGTGCCCATGCAACGTGTGCTCAAATATCATCTGCTACTGAAGGTAAGCAGCTGTACACCAAATCGATCCCATAGGTGGAGCTGACAGCATAGCAGCTTACTTTAAATGAGCTTCGCAGTTTGAAATCAATTTTATCGTGCCACTATACTGCTATATCTAATGATTAACACCCAGCTTACTGAGGAAGACTGGATCCTAGCAGGAAAGAGAAAGATGTCTCTCTATGGCGTGTGATAACAATGCTTTTAGTTACTCAATACTTGTGAATCTGTGATAGGGGATAAAGATGAGGGTCATCAGGATTTAATCATGTGTTGACACACAGTTGATTTTTGATTCCATTGAGATATAATGATTTATTCTCCTCAATTCCTCGATTAAAGGAACTTATCAAACAGACGTCAGACGATAGTGAAGAGAAACCAGAGCTACAGAGAGCACTAGATGCGTTGTTAGTAAGTACTCGTATGGAATGCCCGCTTGTGTGCGATTTTGATGGTGTTTCGTACTGGGTAGAGCTACAGTAGTTTGGTCCACTCTCATAGCATTTCCGAGGCCGTTAATGCTGTGGGTTACTATTGAAACCCCACCGAGTGGATGTTTTCATCAAGTCATTCTGTCATCTGTTATCTTATGTCAATCCATTACCCAATATCAAGAGACGGACTTAGTTAAGTTTGCTCAGGCAATTGCATCGGCCGATTTGTGATCGCCTAATTGCTGTTTTGAAGGATCTCTCTCTGTACATCAACGAAGTCAAGAGAGACAACGAGACACTGGAGATCATTCGGGAGATCCAGAACAATATCACAGATCTAGTCATGGTGAGTGTGATGTGTGTTGTCATCCATCATTTTCGTCAACCACATAATCATTACTTTCATCTCCATCAACATGTTGACATTGTCATATTTTTCCCATGAGAAACCAATTATTGTCAACATTAATCTCAGAGGGCAATAGGAATGATATAGATCCTAAAGGGCACAATCCACAGAGCTGTCAGTATCATTTCTGGCAGTGAAATTCTGTGCAGCCCCAAATGGTCATAGGGCACAATATTTCCAATATTTTTAGAAACGTTTATATATATATAATATATATAGTAACAATATTTATAGTAACATTTTCTAGCAATTTGAATTCCGTAATGTAGCTGCTCTTTATCATGGTTATCATCACTGTTATCATTTTGTTTATGCCAGTATACAGCATCATTGTTGTTGTGTTGCTATGGTCAGCAGGCGTGGCTGCATCTGACGTGTGTTGTGTTTGTATTTGCTTTGCATGCAGCCTGAGGGCACAGAGCTGAAGGATTACGGCCACTTCCTGAAGGACGGGGAGCTTCGTATCAAGTCACATGCAGATAATCGCATAAAGAACAGGTACATCCACCCTGATGGAATGCTAACGAGTTATCACGTTCCATGCTGTGCCGATCGTTAATCGTTCCAATACATCTCCGACCAAAGTCGTATTATCGCTAGAAGTATAATAGGCATGATGACTGGCAGCTGTAGGGAAAGAGCCACGTTATCTTCGTCTGAGAAGCTATATTAGAAAATCCAGGCTCACTCTAAATGCCATAGGTGTAGTGTCACTGGCTGTCTATCTTGCTAGCATGTGTATGTCGGAGTCGTCCCTGTACAGCGGGTGGGAGCGTAGCCGATGTGAACAAAGAGCAAGTACTTGTGGAAAATGATGGACAAGAGCTGATGTTGCCAGACATTTGTTCTGCAACAGCCATGTGTGAACCTGGTCAATAGTGAGCTCCCTTATAATGTTTCCCACTGAGCCATGGAGTCCATGTTCAGTCAGTTGCAGTTTCGAATCAATGTTGTTCGTAAAGGGTGTAGACTGTAGACTGTAGATGAACTCATATTCTTTCCTCGATTTCAGATATGTATTTCTGTTTGACAAAGTCATGCTCATGTGCAAGCCGAGTAGGGTAAGTTTCATGGTAAGGTATATCATTATTTGTCTTTTTTATATATTTTTTATTAAATAAGTAATGAAACAATTGTGGTTTCTTTTCTGTAATTCTCACCTGTAGAGGTGGTGTACTTTCATCTGTTTGTTTGATGCCTAAACTAATGACCTTCCCAGCAAATGTATTACTATACCTAAATTGTATAGATTATAATTATTTATATATTGTATTTATCACTGTACTGTGTTCAATTTTAAGTGCTATCATATTTTTATGTGAAGCTCAAAGACCAATCATTCTGCAAAATGATTATTAAATGTTCGTTTTTGTGTATTTTCTTTGATAGGGTCAGTTTTACAGCTATAAAGAAGCAATCATCCTTTCTAACTACAGTATTCAAGAACAGACAGTATCAAGCTTTAAAAAAGACAAGGTATTCCAGTTATTTTTCTAAATTTCCTTCTGGTTATTTCACCATACTGCATGTAGACCCAGTCTTCACCTAAGATTGTAATAACCTTCCTGTGAAATGCAACATTAACCGAAACAATACAGTAACGAAATAAATGTTCCCAAATAAGAAATGGTTAAAAAAAACACTAGTAATTGCATTTGTTAGCCTCCAGTTTGTACATTTCATATACAGTACACAATCTATTATCCGTAATTCTAAAAACCGAAAAGCTCCGACAACCAAACAATTTTTCATCAGCAAATCAAAGCTCGAGTTTGGCGCCAAAACTCAACCCGACGAATATTAATGTGTTTGGCATTACTCATACATATTGTACTGTACCGGTACAGCACTTGGCCTCTAGAAAACTGGGGTTTTAGTCAGTGTTCGAAATTAGTGCCGGCCCGAGGCTACCAACTTTTTGCTTCGGCCACCATCTCTACGAAACTGCCGGTCCTCCTGACCAGCACTTTTTCCCCTCATATTACGCTGAAATACTACGGTTATTCTAATACGCTCCGTTCCTGAGCGTAGACGGGGTATCCAAAACATCTAGAGCCGAGGGCATGAACTTCCTCAACGCGTGATTTGCCACACGAACAAAACTTCGTGACAGTCTCAGAAATTGATTGTGGCATGACCCTGGGCAGTGTTTTTATGACCGCATAACAATAAGTTCAATGTCGCAGGGGTTATCGTGGGGAGTGAGGGCATGACCAGTGATACCTGACACGCGCGTAATCAAAGCTGTTAACTGAATTCGTCACTTTTCTTTACTATTTTTATTTATATTTAGAAGCAATGTAAACTGTATCAAATTCTATAGGCACTTGTAACTTTGATCTATGCTTGAGGGTACAGTGGACTGGGGAGGAGAAAAACGAAGTAAAACCGTTCCCACAAGCTCGCCCGACATTCCTAGAGCGTGAGATATATTATTTGACCAACTCTAAGTTACATGTATGCTGTTAATGCCAATGGTTATTTTTGTATACTATTTTGTTACTCACTGCTAGTAAATAAGCGTACCACCAACATTCTGAAGTTGGTGGTCCTGCTGTGCACTAGACGGACATGCGGCCCCCATTATTGCGCGCGGCGAAGCCGCGCCCTTACAGCGAATACGCCGCCCCCTTTTTGTCCACTTAGACAGATATGTTAGACAGGGGTCTGAAAACGAACTCCGCGAAAATGGGGCAGAATCCAACCGAAATTTCGCGGACGACGGCTAGAGGCCATTTCCAAACGGCCCCTAGAAATTTTTGGGGGTAGCGCGCCTCACGGGTAACGCGTAGTAGCTCCTACAAGAAACCCTAAGAAATGCTGTCACTCAGCGACCACGCGCTCGCTCATTCGCCGCTACGCAATGACGTGGGCTACTGCCGAATATAGCGTCACGTCTATCACAGAGGTTTTAACGAAGACGCGTACGGCGCTCCACGTGGGCTGGCACGGTCTAGATGCTATCTCCAAAACCGCCGCCGCTGCCGTGCCCCTGGCTGCGTACGTGGCATGTTTTTACCAACCTCCTGACCCCGCGCTGCCCGTAGCGACGGCACGTCGTGCGAGCACGTGCTGGCGTGGCCGTGCCAGTATTTACACGTAGCTAATCCTACGTATACTGGCCCCTGCTGCAGCCCCTGCTGCCCCTCCCCCCCAAGGCCGCCGTAGTCAAGCCGGTGTACGTCTGACGAAAACTGCGTGATGTTACGCTTCCCGCTATACGGATTCGCGCGCCCGCCCTCCTTCGGCGCGCGAATTCGTATAGCGGGCAGCGCGAGATGATACAACACCCCGCGGTCGCGTGCACCCAGTCCCGCGGAAGTGCGCGGCTTAACCGCTCTCGGCAGTCGGGGAACAATGCATCTTTTGCGCACCGCCATCTTGTACCAGGTCTCTCTGGACGATCTGCAGCCGGATATCCGCGCGAAGCGCGAACAGCGCCGCGGAGCGGCCCATTTGATCGAAATCGCTGCCCTGTTGAAAAAAAAATTCCTAAAGTGCCCTATGGGTAAAGGATAAATCGGTGTAATCGGTCAATTGAGCAGTTGTGGGCATTCCAGAAGCCTTTCGAGTATGCACGTAGGGCGAGCATAAATGGCTCGGCGCGCGTCCTTTTCGTGTAGAAAAATAATTTACCCTTTTCGCTGGTTCATGCCCTGACATTAATTTGGAAGTTATCGCGACCCATAGATGGCGCAACGAGTCCATGTACACATGTTCCAGTCGTTTTTTTTAAAAATCGCGTGGCTCAGTGACCTAGACTGCTGCGCGGTGGAGAGTTCCACACGCCAGCATAACTTACTTCAGTGTAGGCAACGATTGTTGCCTGAATGAATGTCGGTAGCAGTCTAGCCCTGGAATCGTCACTGCCGCTTGAACTTCCTGTATCCATCTTAACGCACCAAAGTGATGTTCTCATGTTTGCCATTATGTCAATATGATTATCACGTGATAGTTAGAGGATATATCGTGGCGTCAGCGCGTGGCGTGGCGTCGTGGCGAGAATTTCGTCAGTCTCTGTGTGATTTCGCGTTAATGTCAAAACCATGAGAACATCACATTTGTGCGTTAAGATGGATACAGGAAGTTCAAGCGCGCAGTGACGATTCCAGGCTAGACTGCTACCGACATTCACTCAGGCAACAATCGTTGCCTACACTGAAGTAAGTTACGCTGGCGTGTGGAACTCTCCACCGCGCAGCAGTCTAGGTCACTGAGCCACGCGATTTTAAAAAAAAACGACTGGAACATGATGTGTACATGGACTCGTTGCGCCATCTATGGGTCGCGATAACTTCCAAATTAATGTCAGGGCATGAACCAGCGAAAAGGGTAAATTATTTTTCTACACGAAAAGGACGCGCGCCGAGCCGCAAACCAACAATAACGAGCATTTGTATTTATGCTCGCCCTACGTGCATACTCGAAAGGCTTCTGGAATGCCCACAACTGCTCAATTGACCGATTACACGCTTTATCCTTACCCATAGGCACTTTAGGGAATTT